CCCCGAGAACCCACCTTGGGGCTTTGTAGGTTCATCCGAAATGAAGACGTAGATTGAAGAAGGATCTCTGGTTTGGTGCAATTACATTTGGCGCCATCTGTGAGAATCTGAACTGAAAGCTTTTTTGTTGCTCTTTCATCATGGTTAACACTCGATCAGTCCGAGCTGGAAATTCATCTTTGCCTCTTGGACAAGGTCAACTCCCCAATAACCTCCCACCTCAGCTCCCCCCTCAGCTTCCACCTCAAGTCCCAAATATGTTCCCTCCTGTTAATCATGTAGAAGGAGGAGATAAAAACCAACCTCATACCTCAGCTCATAACTCAATTTCCATCGCCAACCAAGACGTAGTTGCAGCTCAGCTTGCCGTCATGCAACAACAGTTCGATGTCTTTCAGCTAATACTGGCTCAGCTCTTAGCTTGGAGCAACCCTGGTGATCCCCTCATTTTTTTTTTTTTTGGATAATAGGAAATTTTGGGGAAGGAAAACTTGGATATTAGATGTCCAAGCACTTTCCTTATTAAGGTAACTATGTGCTGGACACTCAATTCTACTGATTTAAATTATATAATTTGGTACATTTTGGATTGCATAATATATATTTTTAATAAAATAAAGTAAAATAGTTGGTATTCTTTTTTTTATTTTTTGTTTGCTTTTCTTAGCTTATTACAACTAGAAGGAAGTTTTGCAGGGGAAAAAAAAAGCAAAATTGGAGTTGCAATTTAAACAATACTGGCTCTTTTTGTAACATCAAGCGCAAAGCTGTTATATTCTTATTATATTCTTATATTATTGAGCTACTCTGGAGCATATTTAAACCTTATTCCTTAAATCTCTATGAGATGCCTTCAGCAAGGGATCGACCTAGAAGAGAGAAAGCAGAAACATCCCAAATTTCTCCCTGGCTTCCTTATCAAGGCCATCATGTCCAAGATAGAAATAGATCATTGTCTTGCAGAGAAGTTCACTGTCAACCTTGCTTACCAGCTCACCCATAACTGCACCCATTGGAAACAACTTTTCTTCACTTGTGTATCTAGTGTAGTAATATAAGTGGATTCAATATACTAGAGTATATATATCTTAATTACCTTTTGTTTGGAGAACATATCCTGATAACCTATAAATCTCAATTAGGGAGCCGACTTTTACTTTGACGTTATCTGATAATGGTCCCATAACCCTGTCATCAGAGGTGAAGTTTTAGCTATCATCTCATATCTAATTTGAATTATAACAGTAACACAAGAGTTATTATGAGAATTACATTTTTGAGAGTTCATCATTCCTCTTCCCACCATTTAGTTTCTTTATGGTTCCTGCAATATCATCTGCAAAGCTACTCTTTAACAGGGGCGTGTTACTAAGATTTGAAAACGTCATTGATATCCTTATCATCATCGGCACATCACTCTCAATTACCACATCATACATTTCCTTGGTGGGTGCTGGAGGAGCTGTTCCAATCTTTGACTTCATAAGATCCTTCAGTTTCTCATTATCTGCGTAGATCCCTGTAAGTTGGAGAATGTTACGGCTTATTTATGAATAACATATATTCAACGATCATGGAACACATGCATCAAGTGCATTGCTACTGAGGTATATATGTTAACATCTATTTTATTATCTTAACGATACATTTTTT